TAATAATTTTTGTGTGTTTGTGTCGTGGTGTTCGCTTTTGTAAATCGTGTCCTGTGAGGCGAGGGTTACCCGTTCAGAGCGTGTTTGGGCTCTTACCGGACATTTACAGTGTGATTTGGGGGTTCCGTGAAGAGGTTAGGGGGCCCCGTGGGGGGTCGGAGGGGGGGTAGGGGTTCCGTGGATCATTATGACCAAAAAGTCGCATTTTGTCCAAACACAAAAAACTCATCGGATATCGACGCAGCTCGACGCCGCCGTCACGGCCAAAGCAGTTTCACCTTCCAAATCGTTTTTGTTCGAAAGTTATCGCTGACAAACAAAATGGACAAATTGTCCTGGACTGACCATATGACAAACGTCGCGAAGAAGAGGAGCAGTCATCCAGGGTGCATCAAGATACCATCATTTGGAAACGACGGTAGCAAGAAGGCGGAGTTCTGCTCTCAGCATGCGCAACAGGGTATGGTTGACGTTTGTAGCAAGAGGTGCTGCCATCCAGATTGCACCACACGGCCGAACTACGGTGAGGACGGCAGCAAGAAGGCGGAGTTCTGCTCTCAGCATGCGCGTCAGGGCATGCTTAATATTCGTAGCAAGAGGTGCTGCCATCCAAATTGCACTAAGGGGCCGTCATTCGGCGAAGACGGCAGCAAGAATGCGGAGTTTTGCTGTCAATATGCGCTACAGGGCATGGTTGACGTGGTCAACAGGAAGTGCCGCCATCCAGGTTGCAAAAAGCGGGCATCATATGGGCAAGACGGCAGCAAGAAGACGGAGCTCTGTGCCCAGCACGCGCTACGCTATGGTCAATGTAGCAAGCGGTGCGGCCATCTACAGTGTACGAAGCGGGCGTCATACGGATAAGCCGGCACGAAGAAGGCGGAGTTCTGCTCTCTGCACGCCAAGCGAGAAATGGTCAATGTGCGGCATACCGCGTGCTAAAGCGCAGGGGTCGCATTGTGAGGTCTTGCTGGGTGGGTGGCTCGATGGCACTCGGAAAAATGGTCGTGGTTTGAGGTGCACTACGAGCGACTCCGTGAGGTTTGAACTGGATACATGGCTTCCTTGGCATCATTCATTCTTCACGAACGTTGCCGTGGTTCGGAAGTCATGGAGTATGAATTGGTTGACCAATTGTCTTGCAGATACGTTGACCTCAGCATGATATGTGAAGACGATATATGTTGTCTGATATGGTCGGTTTTTTAGAGACATGCATGGATTCGGGTCGGCAAGGCGGTTCAAAAGTCAAAGCAAAACCATGTACCGAGTTGGAGGATCGGCTCGATGTCCCCGAATAGAACTGTGGCCAGAATGCGACACAGATGATGAACCGCAGTTCGGTGATGGATGCCCAAGTGATAGGGCGTCACGCGAATGTGTACCCGAAAATATTTGCAGAGTTTGCCTTGGCGTGCACCTGGCTTGACCCTTGAGCTATGGCCGAGCGCATGCGATCAATCTGTAGCCTTGCTTTCTTCTTGGTGCGGTTGTGGGAGCTAGTGTTGCCGCGTTCCATGTGTAAATCGTTGATAGATGCCTGTAAATGATACCAGGCTCAGGACCAATGCTGAAGGTCCACAACGAGACTTGTCTTCTTCCACATGGATGCTCATATGTTGCGGTTTTAGGGGCCACGAATGTCAACATTCGTAGATGGTGGTTACACGATCTTCGGGGATTGGCGAAGCCTTTTGAAGCCAAGTTGGTCCGGCGCGACTAGCGGTGTAGACCGAAGTATGTGTAGGCGAGGTCACCGTGGGGCAGGTGATTCTCCCAACATAGGTCTCACGTTGTAGTTGACGCGTTTAACGCCAACATTGCGTTGCGAGTTGTATGTGTTTGTCACGACTTCACGCACGTGGAGGGTTTTGCAGATGATGGGTACGGCGAAGTTGGAGCAAAATCGTAGTCCGTTTTCCAAGAGGATGCTCGCGTGTTGCGGTTTTAGGGGCCACGAATGTCAACATTCGTTGACGGTTACACGTTATTCGGGGATTGGCGAAGCCTTTTGAAGCCAAGTTGGTCCGGCGCGACTAGCGGTGTAGACCGAAGTATGTGTAGGCGAGGTCACCGTGGGGCAGGTGATTCTCCCAACATAGGTCTCACGTTGTAGTTGACGCGTTTAACGCCAACATTGCGTTGCGAGTTGTATGTGTTTGTCACGACTTCACGCACGTGGAGGGTTTTGCAGATGATGGGTACGGCGAAGTTGGAGCAAAATCGTAGTCCGTTTTCCAAGAGTATTCTTGTTGGGCAACCCCATAGAGGAAGAAGTATATGTCTTTGTTTTAAGCGTGATGTCTGAAGTGTGTTCATTGTGGAGTTAGCGCCAGATACGTCACACATGTTGGCCCGACGACTGAAGCGATCGTTGAAGACCGGAGATGTAGGGCTGCCGCGATGTATAGAGGTACAAAGTCCAATGGTTTTCACCGTAAGGGTCGCGCGTAGTCTTGTTGCAAGAGGTAGGTTAAGTATTGTTGTAGGATGGGCGAGCCCGCAGTTCCGTGAAACGTTTCTCTCGCTGGACACTCAGGCAATGAAATCACCAGCAACTGAAGATTTTCGCACAAGCCACTAGCTGACGTTCTGTTGCAGGACAAGTGTGAAAATTTCCGACATGGCCCAAGTAGCTGGCGTGGTACAGTGCCGACCCAAGGGTAAGAACCGCTTTTTTCTTTGCAAGGCTCATCACGTTCTTGCCGCAGCGATGTGAGCTGTATCCCTGATGTATTGACACCAACAATCAACGTTCTTTCTTGTATTCTGTGTATTCCTCGTTTGTGTTTGTTTCGCTTTGATGTCTTCACCTCAAATCAGCGCTCACAACGTTGACACCCTTCACTCCGACGCTTGCTTACACAGAAGGGTTCATCCCTGAGGCCCACCACCCACCCCTCATGCCGTACTTTGCTTTCGATTTTTTTGCCAGAAAATATGCAGCACTCTCTTCCCTTTGTGTACAAACGCACTATTTATGGAGCAGCACTTTCCGCCCAGGCCAGGAACGGAAGCGAGAGAAAACTCAATTTGCAAGAATAGCTCGCTTTCGTCGTGATTCGAATCCCTACCCCTGACCATGAGACTGTAGAAAGTTTACCCACTAGACTGCCGGACGGGGGCGATGGCAGTCGTGTTTGCCAGTACATGTTGCTAATATGCACATTGTATGCGGACTCCTGTGAACACCAAGCTTGGATTGGCCACTGCTGCGATCAACCACTACTGCTACTGGACGGCCGTAAAACCTCTGCATTCACAAAGTCCGCGTTCGGGAAGAGAGGACAAACGAGATGTTGCCCCACTCGAAACTCAATCACCAAGTGGTTTCGAACTAGACTACTGCTCTGCCAATCCTTATCCCAGGTCAATGTTGCGAACGAGCGTGGGGGGTCCGTGCCCTGCTACACTGCCCAACGTGCCGCCGATCGTCGCGAACGTCGATCGGCTCGATCAATGCTTTCATGCTCGCTCATACGTACGGCTTTGGTCGGCCAGTACACGTTGTTCACATCTAGAGGCATGTTCAGTCAAGCTGATGGGTAATTTTTCATCGTAGAGAACACCACGTGGCAGGCGTGGTGCGACTGGCATGCGGGAAGACACCCGACCACTCTGCCCCAGTGTTCATTCCACGTCTGCCTGCCTCGAACGTACACACTGACCAACCAGCGCTGCGCATAGCTTCGCTGGAGGGGATTCATGAAAACGAAGCCCGGCCGGAAGCTATAGACTACCGTTATCATCGGGGTCTTGGCAGACTGTGCGGTCGCTTTTTTATATGTTTCGAGCTTCAGACTTTTTTCGCACAGGTGTGCGAAGACCCCGATATGTGCCAAGTTCGCGATAACTGTGCGGAAATGCAGTAAATATTTTGGTTCTAAGAAACAACGCACACCCCTGTGCCAAGACCCCGATATGTGCGATCCTAACGTTGAAAACCACATGGGATAGCAGCACTTCGCGTGTATGGTATTGCTGCAACACCATCACAACACAACCAACAGACAAGCTAGTAGCTGCACACACAAACGAGTCTCGGGGAATTGCCACCACAACAGCTCCGTGGCGGAGAAATACCGGCGGAAAATCGGGAAAATGCCCGGGACGCAGCTGCGGGCTCGACCACACGCAACGCGCGGCTACGATGTCGGAGGGTGCAAGCGCGGGACCTGCCGACGCTTCACAGGCCTCACAGGCTACTGCTGGCGGTCCTTCCTCTGCGGATCAGGGAGCTGCCGCTGCGGACCCGAAGGCAACCGGCGAGGCTATCGATGAGATGCTAGCCGCCAACGACCCCGTCAAAAACAGCAACGGCAAACGCGCATACCCGGAGCCTAACGTCCCGATCGAGCGGTCAGGAGCAGTGGGAGGGAAAGGGAGCTACCCCATCGGTTCAAACTGAACGAGGCGGCCTGCACACGGGAGATCTGCCCGTGCGGCGGTCAACCGGTGGGAAACAACGGCGCGGCGAAAGTTCTCCAGGTGCCTCGGAAGCGTATCATCGAGTGGCTGAAGCAGGAGGAGCAGCTCAGGGAGAAGGTCAGCGCCAACCCCAAGCTTTCGAAGGCCAAGCAGCTTCATAGCGGAGGGAAAGCTCCGACAGTCGACGCCGAACAAGCCCTTGTGGACTACATCAACGAGCAGCGCAAGCAGCGCCGCGGTTGTGGTAATCGGGAGGTGATGAACAGGCTGCTCGAGCTGAAGCCTAGCGCCCTTGGCCGGATGCCGGCGAACGCGAAACCGGAGGAGGCGCTGGCTTTCAAGGTCAAATTCAACTCCTGGTACCAAAGGTTCCGCAAGCGGAATGGGTTCAGCATCCGCCGGCGTACCAGCGTGGGCCAGAAACTGCTGAAGGGGTACGAGGGTATGGCGTGGGCGACGGTGATGAAGCTGCGCGAGGCTCTCGTAAAGCGCGCCGGTGAGATCTACGCTCGGCGCCACCCGCCGGCACCTGACGAGAGCCCCATCAAAGGGGAGGATCTGACTTCCGAGCAGCTGGCGTCTGTGGAGGCGGAGGTTTTCGAGGAACTCGGCAACATGGACCAGACGCCAGTCCAGCACGAGATGCCGGTGGAGATCACTCTGGAGAAGACTGGTGCGAAGAATGCTCGCATCAGTACAGGAGGTGAGGGCGAGCTAATATTTTTGTCAAAATTTTGTGTGGTGTGCGGATTTTTTGTCGTTGTACAATAATATTTCGACACATGTTTTTTTTTTGCGTGCCGGTACACGGTGCGATGTAGCTCTATCGGTAGAGACAGGAGGGTTGCTACCTTTTTCTGCGGGATAATTCTACACTTCCTTTTTCAATGCATCCAAACTATCAACCAACTTAGTTTTCGAAACGTCCGATACCGTTCGCATCCATTGTATCAACCACACACTGCTGTCCTCGCAGAAATATTCAACACTCTACTCCCCCCCCCCCTCCCCTCGCGTTGATTTTGTCCCCCTCCCCTCGGGCAAAGCGAAGGAACGCTTCACGCTCGATTTGGCTGTCATGGCGGACGGCAAAAAGGTTTCGCCATGCATCATCTTCAAGGACACGCTGTTCATCCCCCCGACCGTGAGCGGCAAGGGCAAGAGCACCCTGCCGCG